GACAAACCCAGGAAGAAACTTTATTCATAATTGATAAACATTCGTATTTATTTATTTATTTCGATTTATAGGCTGCCCTTCCCTCAAGTGTGACTCAGGGCGGCTAACACAAGGGCACACGTGCCAATATAAAAACATAGTAAAAACAGACCAAAACAACATTTTTAATATACAAATAAAGTGCTTCAAGCTGATCATAATATTCAGTTTAAAGATGGTGGGGATGGTATCCAGAACCAGGTCTTAAACTCAGTGGCGCCCACACGTCGTATTACCACAGTGTGATTGATCTTGGGGCCACTCCTGCACCCTGTTGTTCCAAGCTCGGTGGTGGTGGTGGTAGTGGCAGCTCCTATTCATAAGCCTGGCGGAAGAGCTCCATCTTGCAGGCCCTGCGGAACTGCATAAGGTCCCACAGGGCCCTGATCCCCTCCGGAAGCTCATTCCACCAGATAGGAGCCACCACCGAAAAGGTTTTTGCCCTAGTAACTGCAAGCCTGGCCTCTTTAGGGCCTGGAATCACCAGCAGATGTTGTGTCCCCAACCGTAGTGCCCTTGGGGGAATATATGGGGAGAGGCGGTCCCTCAGGTATGTCGGACCCTGGCTGTATAGGGCTTTAAAGGTAATAACCAGCACTTTGAAGCGAATCCAGTATGCTATTGGCAGCCAGTGCAGCACTTTCAGCACAGGTCGGATATGCTCCCGCCTGGGGAGACACATCAGGAGCCTGGCTGAAGCATTCTGCACTAGCTGCAGCTTCCGGATTTGCGACAAAGGCAGCCCCACGTAGAGAGCATTACAGTAGTCTAACCTCAAGGTGACTGTCGCGTGGATCACTGTAGCCAGGTCATTGCGGTCAAGGAAAGGGACCAACTACTGAGCCAGCCTGAGATAGTAAAAGGCCGACCTGGCAGTGGCTGCCACCTGGGCCTCCACAGTTAGTGGGGAGTCCAGGTGCACTCCCAAACTCCTAACCTCCAACGCTACCATCAAAGGCGCCCCATCAAAGGTCGGGAGAGGGATCCCCAACCCGGCGCGACTCAGGCCCAGGACCTCCGTCTTTGCCAGGTTTAGCGTCAGTCGGCTCAGCCTGAGCCAACCAGCCAAGGCTTGTAACGCCCGGTATAGATCTTCTGGGGTGGAGTCTGACTGGCCACCCAGCATCAGATAGAGCTGGGTGTCATCTGCATATTGATGACATCCCAGCCCATGCCTCCGGGCAATCTGGGCAAGGGGGCTCATTTGTAGCACTTTGGAGCACTTCTATGGCTAGCCACATTTCAAACTATTTCTTTTCCAACTTTAAAAACATACATGTTGAGAGGTCAACCAAATTTAATTTCTAAAAAGTAGCAAGATTTTCAGAATGCACTGGCCATCATTTGAGAGAAGATCTCCAAGTATATAAAAAGAGAGGAGGGTTCTTACGGCCCCTGCCAATCCATTCAAAGGCTGAAGGCAACAGGAAATGGACTAAGTACAAATCTGCACCTGGGTCAAGCAGTTAGCATCTGGTTGAAGGGCCCAGGAGCTTGCAGTACAGCTGGTCTAACTAGCCTCTTCCGGTTCTCTCCCAGTCTCTCCTTTAAGAAGGCAGATTCATAGCAAAAGGAAGATACAGAAAGTATAAAATGAAAAGCGGGGGGGGGGGGGGAATGTTGGGGAAACTTGTTTTAAAAAATCACAGACCATCTCCTGAAATACTTAGGGGGGTGGGAAGCGTACCTCACAAAGCAACCACATGCACCTTACACCTTTCCAAGAAAGCCATCAGTCTCCAATTGTTCTCTTTATAAATTAAGGTAATATGTTAGAGACTGGGAACAGGAAGATCAGACTTTTATAAATTGGTTACTAAGTATGCCAACAGCAGAAATCAAAAGCAGGGCTAAAACCTTCTAAGTGTACGGAAGTCAATGGACCTAAAAAGGTGTAACGCAGCTGAGGATGGCACTGTAACTTTGCCTCAAAAAACAATATAAGACATTCCTTAAAAATCCTACACTTATGCACAAATATTCAATAAGATCAACTGAACGTTAGGCAGATTCTGCTACTGACTCTCCTGAGGGCAGGGGTCTTCAACCCATCAGGTGCCTCCATCAGCCCGGACTCTAAGCTAGTCACAGGCACCTATGATGTCGTCACTATGAGGGCTGCCCTCTGGAAAGACATGCTAATAGCACAGATGCACAGGGTGCAAGAACCATACCTCTCGCCTTTCTTTGTATGCACACAGTATGGAAAGGTCACTCTTTGAAGAAACCTCCATGGCTTTAACCCTTGGCTTGTTCTTCACCCTGGTGCTTGGCTTGGGTTTCCTGTCCCTGGCTGTCTTAGTCAGCTGCCCACAGTCCTAGCCTTGGCATCAGCAAACACATTAACTCTGCCTCCCCCTCTTCGTGGCACATGGCTTTGATGACACGCAGCATCCTATCACTTTTTTGTAGCTCCCTGGCTTAGGAAGGCTGAAGACCACTGCTCCGGGGTACAAATGTCCTTACAGCTAAACTCTGAACACCAACAGCCTTTGCCTGGCCAAAACATGTTGCTAAAGAGGTCAGCTTTTCTGCAGTGCAAGACGGCAGCCCACAATCTCAATCTTTTACTCACCAGCAAATGACAACCAGGACCGTCAACTGCTTATTAAATAGCTGATCCTAACAGATGCACAAAATGGGTTTAAAAATGTAATTCCAATGAAACTTCAACTGAAGTTAAGTAAGTGGACAGCTACTAAGATGGCAGCAATAAGCATACCTCCATAACGGCAATTAAGTAAGATTAATGACCACAACTACAAGGGTCTGTTTCGGACAGAATCCCACTGCGATACAGAAATTAATTTGTTCATGCTAAATGTAGATGCCCTAAGCAAATTAAACCCAGGTTTATTAATTACGGTATACAGGAACTGTCACTTCCAGGTTACAGTCAGGTACTATTTAGTTGGAGCACGGACAAACTTGTTACCCAATACTCACCATTTAACTTGACTTCTAGAGGATAAGTCTAAAGGTTTTTTTTAATATTACTTCAAACAAATGACCTCACAGCTGATCATATTCTCCTTCCTTCAATAAACACCATTTTCACTGTAAGCCTAGCACAAATAAAGGCAAAGGGAAGATGGATTTTACAGCATACCCAATACTACTGGGGCAGAAAAAGGTTAGTTTGGGATTGTGGCTGCAACAGCAAGGAAGGGTACTCTCTTGTCCTCTTATGCATTGCTGATGGTAGTGATATGGCTGAAAAAAGAATACTTGCACAGCTCTTTAAAAATCACATTTTAAAAAGTCCAGTTCATGACTTTACATATATATTAGCCAAATCACTGATGGACAGCTCAGCACAATTCAGACAAAATAGGAATGTTTTTAGATGTGGAGGAATTTGCGTAGAAAACCCACTGAACGATCTCATGGTTCTTTCAAGGCAGATGCTTACATGGCAGCTGGAAACAGCCTAGATCCTGCTTCTGGGTCTTCCACTGATACTTGATTTGGACAGTTTGGGTACATTCTTCCATCTCCCCAAAGGCAAGCATTCATCCTGATCTGGCCTCAAAAGCAAGAAGCATTTGGTTTGAGGAAATGGGGCTGGGGAAAAAGGAAAGGGCAAGAGACAGGATCCACTTAGAGTGGACCTTTGAAGCCCGTCCATACAATATGCCCTTCCAAAGTTTTCAAGAATGCATCTCTCTCAGCAGAGGAGCATAATAAAGTTTTTAAAATATATTCAGTGAAATCACACCCATAGTGGCTGTTCTGAACTCTTCCCCAAGACACTGTTTTGCCAGACAAATGCAAGTTTGTGTCATTTCATTTGCCTGTCAGTAGTGTCATTTCATTGGCTAAGCATCTCTTAAGACACAGGTTCACAGGGGGACCAGACAAAATGGATGTCTTGCTGTCGAAAGCAATCCCTGTTCTATTACTTTGTCTGCTTGCAACCACCTGCCTTCCAAATGATACCATAGATCACCTTCAGCACATAGGCTTCTTTTTAAAGGTATGGTTCAAAACAAACCAGCAAAACAAAAAGATGTCTCAGGAACCAGCAAAATGTACAACAAAGCAGCAACTGGTTTTGGCTACTGGAACTTTAGGGGATCACTTCTGGGGAAAGGGAAGCTGATCAAGCTGCAGCCTTCTGCCCATACTTGGAAGTCGGCCTTACTGGATTCAACAGGACTTACCCAGAAGTAAACAGGCACAGAATCTAGCTGCACCGATTCGCCCCTCCCCAGCCCTTCAATCTAATCTAGTTTCTTCGGAGAGCTGACGTGGTTATAATTGCCAAGAGTCTTCCCCACCACCACCACTTCTTTCTCTGGCTTCAAAACATGGTGTGCCGGTTTTCTTAAGAAATGCTCCGGAATCCACTGGAACGGTCACCTAACTGAAGCAAGTAATAATTATGATAGAAGATAAAAAATGACCTGGTTTAGGCAGCGACAAGAACCCACACGGGCTCCGCCGCCTTCCAACCCTGCGATCTGCGGATCGCGGGGACTCTCAAAGCCCAGTTCAACCTGTTGCAGTCCCAGAAAGCTGCAACAGCTGAGCGACTCTGCTCTAAAGCACTAGTTTCCAGAAAGAAGTAGTCCCGAGTCTTACTTCTGAGTAAAGCATGCACAGCGTCACAATGCACTGCATCTGTGCAAGAGAGGAACCTCATTCTCCTTTCCCACAGCTGGTGCGTGCTGCGACCCACCGACATAAAACATCATTGCTACATGCAAAGAACTCAAC